GTCAAGGATGACTCATAGTGACCCTATGAACAAAAGACCTGAAGTCTTTCTGTAACTATCGTTGTTTCTCAAACTTTATAGAGTTTATGGAGGCATGTGGATGTCACTCCTGCTTCCAAACTTGTCTTAATCTGGGAGCTCCACCAACCACTGTCTACCATGGGTAAGCATTATGGCATTTGATACCCCAGTGGCACAGAGTTCAGCATTATAGCCACTCCAGGTTACCTCAGTACAGCAAATTGACAGACCCATGCTGTATCACTGAGAAGAATGTTCCGCTAAATTATAATTACACTAGGCCCAAGGGCCTAGCTGACTTTTTTTTTTAATTTAGGTTGTTTATTTTTCATTTCAATGAACATCTACAGAGATTTTGGGATTCCATTCATTCATTGTTGCACCCTTCTCCCCGCACAAACCCCTCCCCCCTCCTCCCCCTTTTGCTCCTCTCCTTGAAAAGCAAAAGAAAAACTCCCTCATTGGTACTTTTAAATACAAAGGCCCTCCAGGAAGTAGTGTTGACTCTAAACAAGGGGCTTAAATTAAAAACTATCAAATATTCCACAGGGCCCTCAACCAAAACAAGAGAGCCCACCTTTCAGACTAGAACTGCTGCCGCTAGTAACTGAGGTCAAGTGGAGTCCCATGTCTATAGGGACCACAAAAAATGAGGATATTTCTTCCTACTATGCCTGACTGTAGTCTTCAGTATGGAATTAAGCTCAACATCAGTAAGACAAAGATTCTCACCACTGGGCCAAATGGCAGCCCCATGATAGTTGGAGAAGAGATTGAGGTTGTTAACAATTCTGGCTTACTTGGCTCCACAGTCAACACTCTTGGCACCAGTAGTCAGGATATCAAAAGACTAATTGCATTAAGGAAATGTGCTGTCAGGGACCTCTCCAAAGTGCTAAAGAGCAAAGATGTTAGTCTAGAGACTAAAGTGCACCTCTTCAAGCCATGGTCTTCCCAATTACTTGTTATACATCAGAAAGCTGGACAATGACTAAGGGTGACAGAAGAATTGATGCCTTTGAGTTGTGGTGCTGGATAAGAGTATTGAACACACCATGAACCAGCAAGGAAACAAACAAGTCTATCTTGGAGAAGGTGAAATCAAGCTGTTCCTTGGATGCAAGAAGGATTATCATGCTTGGAAGGCTGAGGGGACAGCACAGGAGAGAAAGACCCCAGATGAGATGAATTGGCACAGTAACTGGAGTAGTAGGAATAGGTGTGTCAAAGACAGACTGGCTCAGGATAGTGCTGGGTTCAGACCTATTGGACATGGGGTCACTGTGAGTTATAAACAACTTGATGGAACATAACAACAACATGAGATGGACATTTTTGGAAACCAAGAGGTAAAGGCTAGTCAGAGGATTTTTGTCTGTCTTTTAAGAGTTATTACAAACAGTGTCACACAATAATTGAAAGTACAGACTTAGCCACTCGTATGCCATTTCATTCTATCTACAGCAGTTGGGTTCCACTCAATGTTTCTGTACACTTTAGTTGCACTCTTTGCCAGTTTATACTTGCTTAAATCTACTGGTTCTCCCTGAAAACCATTACTCTGTTTTTGTAGCAATCAAGTAACTTCATATCCACTGTTGTTGTTTTTGTTGTTAGGTGCCTTTGAATCAGCTCCGAATCTTTGCGACCCTATTTACAACAGACTGAAACCTTACCCAGTGCTGTACTGCCCTCTTAATTTTCATCATTATCAGTCCCAATGTTGCAGTCACAGTACCAATCTGTCCTTTGAAGGCTTTTGTCCCTTACTCTGATACTCTGCCTTTCCAAGCCTTCTCTAGAGACCAGACCCCCCTGATAACATGCCCAAAATATATAAAACAAATTCTCACCATGTTTGCTTCTAAGGAACATTCTGGCTGTGCTTCTGCCAACACAGATGTTTTTCTTTTGGAAGTCCATGGTATATTCAAAACCTTTACCAATACTACAGTTCATCAATTCTTCTTTGATCATTTTTGTTCGTTGTCCTACTTCCACCTGCCTATGAAACAGTTGAAAACTCCATAGGAACTTTGGTGGCCTAGTGGTAAGGAGCTGCACCGCCAACCTGAAGGCACGTAGTTCGAATATACCAGATGCTCTGTGGAAGAAACATGGACAATCTCCTGTGAAGTTACTGCCTCTGAAAACTCACTGAAGCTATGGGTCAGTTTTGACTTGATAGTACAAAACAACAATGACAGATATGCCTTGGTCTTTAAACTGATATCCTTACTCTTTAGGACTTCAAGATATCCTTGACAACAAAATTGTTGTATGTACCCATCAGTTCCACTTCTAAGAATATATACTCAAAAGAAGTGAAACTGTATGCTCATACAAAAGCTTGTTTGTGAATGGCCATAACAACATAATCCTTCTTCTGAATGTCAAAAGTGAAAACAACACAAATGTCATTTAACTGGTAAATGTACAGTACACAGTGTAGCAGTACATCCATACAACATAATATTGCTCATCAGTAAAAAGAAATATAAACAGATGTTAAAATATAGATGAACTTTAAAACATTATGAGGATTGAAAGAAGCCAATCACAAGAGATGATATTGTCTGACTCCATTGTTGTGAAGTATTCAGAATAAGCAAATCTGTAGAGACAGAAAGTAGCTGCATGGTTGCCTGGGACTGGAGATAGAGTGTTGGAGACAATGGCCAGTGTCTGCTAATGCTCCTTACTGGGTTGATGGAGATGTTCTAAAATTGTATGATGATAGCACAACTATGTGATTATACTTGTTGTTGATTGCCTTCAAGATGAGCATGACTCATAGCGACCTTATGAAAAAAAGGCCTAAAGCTCCTCTACAATTATTGACATTTATCAAAGTTCATAGAGTTTCCAGAAGCATGCTGTTTAGGAAGTGAATGCCACTCCTGCTTCCAAACCTGTCATAATATGTTATTGTTGTTGTGTGATATTGAGTCACCCGTGATGTATAGCAACCCTATGTACCACAGCTCTGAACCCTTCCATGTCCTGAGCCAGTGTCACTCATTCCAACACACCAACCCTTATTGCCCCCGTTACTGTATCAATTCATCTGATCTGGGGTCTCCCTCTCCTGTGCTGTCTGTCTAACCTTCTGAGCATGATGTGCTTCTCCAAGGATCAATCTCTCCTGGCCAAGTGCCCAAAATAAGTGAGGCAGAGCTTCAAAATTCTACCTTCCAAGGAGAGATATGCTTTCATCCTCTCCAAGACAGACCCATTTGTTTTCTTGGCAGTCCATGGTATGTTCAAGACTCTTTTCCAGCACCACAACTCAAAGGCATCTATTCTTCTTCTGTCATCCTTAGTCATTGTACAGCTCTCTGAAGCATAACAAATACTTGAGAAGACCATGGCTTGGATTAGGCACAACTTTGTCTCTAGATTGACATCGTTGCTCTTCAGCATTCTGGAGAGGTCCATGATGGCAGATTTTCCCAATGTAATTAGTCTTTTGATTTCCTGACTGCTGGTATTAATACCATTGATTGATTGTAGATCTGAGCAAGGTGTAATTGCTAACAACCTCAATCTCTTCTCCATCTATTATGGTGTTGCTAATTGGCCCAATGGTGAGAATCTTTGTCTTCTTGATGTTGAGCTTCAATCCGTATTGAAAACTACAGTCTTTGACCCGTTGCAGCAAGTGTTTCAAGTCTTCTTTAGTTTCAGAAAGCAAGATTGTGTCATCTGCATATCGTGGGTTGTTAATGAGTCTTCCTCCAATCTTGATGCCACACTCCTCCTGATAAAGCCCTGTTTCCTGAATAATCTGTTCTACATACAAATTGAAATGGTATGGTGACAGGATGCATCCCTGAGCTCAAACCTGTTTGGAGCACCTCAGAAAGATTGTACAATCTACAGAATTCTCCCCTAAGGAGAGTGAAAGATAGCATTGTCTGAGAGTATTAACTCCCTAGTACTTCTAACCTATCCTACACATAGGCCAGGCATGTGTCACCAACTCAGACAGGAAGAAGGAAGAAAAGAGAGAGAAGGAGACAGCACAGGGCAGGGTTCACATCTGTTGTTCATGGAGCCACGATGAGTCGTACTCAACTCTTTAATGATGATCTTGAGTAAGGGATTGTGCTGCCACCTCAGAGACAGATGCCTCAAATCCATGAGCTGCTCTCTGGAAAAAGGATAAGTAACCTCTCATGTGATTTACTGCCTCAGAAAGCCCGCTGAAGGATCAGTTATGAGTTAGTTGGGACTTGACAGCACATAGCAACAACCTAATAAGGATATTGTGATTGTTTATGGAGTTAATATGTCTGAAGTATTTAACACAGTCAGTACCTATTGCTAATTTTTCTCCATTTTCCTAATTTGTAATTCATGCATAATAATTTTTACTCTGCATGAATTTATTACAAAATAGATTATAAATTAATCCATTATAATTAAAAAATAGACTTATAGCTTCTTATTAGGCTGATTTTGTGTTTTATGAGCTTGGAATCGCTGCCTATTTTTAAACATGCCGTGTGTTTTATTCATACCTTCAGCAGACACCTATCCCAGTAAATGCTGTTATTAGAGCAACTCATAAACTCTTTGTCTGTCTTTCTTTTCTATTTTATGGAAACACTTGGGACCCAGACTAGGGAGGTTCATCACAGTCCCCACTTAATATTTTCCTTTGTGTCCCCTCATATTTTCCCAAAGCTGTGTTCTGAGGATCGTGGGCCCTGGGGAGCTTTGTGCCTGTGAAACTCCTGCAGCCGAGGGATCCAGTGGCTGCAGTCTCAGTGCCTCTGAGTCCTACTTCTGTCAAAGGCATTTATACTCAATATGTTTCAGTGTTTGCATAGGACTAAAATAGCCCACTTGGTGAGCAGTTGGGGGGAATGGGGTTAAAAAGAATCACACCTGTGTTACATCATGCTGGAGCTGTCATGATTCAAATTTAATTTACAGATTTGCTCACCCAAGAAAATATTTCTGGATTGTTTCAGGCTGTGACTCTTCAATTAACCTGACATTGCACAAATCCCAAATTGCGGTGGATACACTCTTTGCTTCACTTCGGGATGTGGCTGGAGCTCGGAATCTCATGAAGCAGTTTAAGTCTGTGTATGTTCCTGGAAGTCCTACCCATCAGGCGAGTACATATGTTTTAAAGGAACTTTTAAATCTGTGCTGTATTTTTAGGACTCAACATCTACAACAACAAAAAGATGTCAGGTGTTTTGTTGCTGTTGTTTTCATTTTTCAACAGTTTCTCCCTGTATATTTCAATGGCATTGATCAGCTTCTTCTTGGTATTCAATCATTGTTATTTGCTGTCGAGTTAACTGTAACCCATAGCAATCCTATAGACAGTAGCTCTGAACCTTGCCATATCCTGAGCCAATCTCACCATCTCTGACTCTTGTGACCCCCATCTCATCCAAGGTCGTTTTCTACACCAACCCTCTGCCCTTCTAACTATGGTGTTCTTCAAGGACTGGTTCTACCTGGCAACATGCCCAAAGTATGTGATATAAGGCTTCAGAATCCTTTCCTCTGAGGAGCAAAATGGTTTCACCCTCTCCAGAACAGACCTATTTGCTCTCTTGGCAGTCCATAGTATGTTCAATAGTCTTCTCCAGCACCACAAGTCGAAGACATTGCTTCTTTTTTGATCACCTTTATTCTTTATCTGGCTCTCAGATGCATAGCAAGCAATTGAGAAAACTGTGGCCTGGATCAGGCATACCTTATTTTCCAAAGTGACATCTGTTGTTCATAGTTGCAAAAGGAGAGGTTACAGCATGAGTTTCGCCAAGCCTGACTTCTATCCGCTTCATAAAGGGGAACTGTCCCCATCAATAATACCTATAGTACAAAATAGCTACAAGGTGCTACATGCTGCCACCACTCTTGCTCCTGCACCTTTTTCTATCAATTATTGAATCTAGATTGACTATGTGGATCATAACAAACTGTGGCTGACTCTGAAAAGAATGGGAATCCCAGAACATTTAATCGTGCTAATGCAAAACCTATACTTGGACCAAGAGGCAGTTCTCAGAACAGAGCAGGGTAACACTGTTCAAAATTGGGAAGGGTGTACACCAGGGATGTATCCTGTCTCCATACCTTTTTAACCTGTATGCACAGCAGATTATCCGGGAGGGTGGGCTCTATGAGGAGAAATGTGGCGTCAGGATTGGTGAAAGATCTATTAACAATCTGCGTTATGCAGATGACACAACTCTGCTTGCTGAAACTGAGGAGGACCTCATGCACTTGCTGCAGAGGATCAAGGACTGCAGCTTCAGTATGGACTGAGGCTCAATGTCAAGAAGACAAAGATTCTCACCACTGGACCAATCGGTAGCATCAGGATGGATGGTGAAGAGATTGAGATTGTTCACAACTTTAGTCTGCTTGACTCCATGGTCAACATTCTTGGCACCAGCAGCCAGGAGATCAAAAAATGTATTGCGATGGGAAAGTCTGCTGTTACGGACCTCTCTAAAGTACTCAAGAGCAACGGTGTCTCTCTGGAGACTAAGGTGCATCTGCTACAGGCCATGGTTTTTGCAATCACTTGTTATGCGTCAGAGAGTTGGACAATGACTAGGGAGGACAGAAGGAGAATTGATGCCTTTGAACTGTGGTGCTGGAAAAGAGTATTGAATGGACTGCCAAGAAAACAAACAGATTCATCCTGGAGAGGGTTAAACCAAGCTACTCCTTGGAGGCAAGGATTCTGGGGCTTCATCTGACATACTTTGGGCATGTTGCAAGGAGGGACAGGTCCTTGAGAGGGACATCATGCTTGGAAGGGTGGAGGGACAGCGCAAGAGGGGAAGATCCTCTATGAGATGGATTGATTCAGTGACTGAGGTAATCGGGATGGGGGTGTCAGAGACAGTGCAATTGGCACAGGATAGAGCAGGGTTTAGGGCTGTTGTACATAGGGTTGCTATGAGTTGCAAATGACTTGACGGCACATAACAACAACAAGAACAAGTGTTCATTGCAAGACTCACAGATTTTACTCACAGTGGTGGGCTTTATTAGGAAATAGATTAGAGAATGTGGGCAGCAAAAAAAATATCACACAATGGAAGTCTAGGTTTATCACAAGCCAGATTAACAAGGCACAGTTCTTCAATTTGTGACAATCCAAGGTTCACTTCAACAGCACAAATGCAAAGGACCCTTTGATTTCCTCAGTTGTCAAGAAAACTTTATCTCAGAGCAGTTACAAATTAGTTTTTCCTTCAATCATCCAGCAAGCAAAACCTTTAACTGTGGCCTTTATTTCTAAGGTTCTTCTGGCTACATCTTACCACAGTCTCCTTATAGCAGTGCTGCAATCTCTTCACAGTCTTTCCACCACCTTTACTGTTGTCCCTCACAGTGTGGAATGTGCTCTCCTATATTGATCTTACAGCTGTTAATGATTTGTATGACCATGGTTCCAGAGGAGGCTAATGCAATAGCTAGAAGAGCCAATTTTCAAGGGTTTTGACACCCAAAAAAAGTTATTATGAGTCGCAGTTTCAACAGCATCTAACAGCAACAACCACATTCATCTGTTAATGGATAGTTATGGGGGGGTTTCTATATTTTGACGATTGTGAACGTACTACAATGAGTATTGGAATAAAAGGTTTTTATTTGTTTCTTCTTTTACTTCTTCTGGATACATAAGAAATAGTTTTAGCTTTAGATTAAACTCCCTAAAAAGAGAAATTTATGCTAGAAGTACTGTAAGTTCTCAGCAAGTGCAAAGTTCAGCTTTACATTGAATCCAAAAATCTCCTAATTTGCTACTGTTGCAGACTTGATGTCATGTATGAGCACTGGGTTGGGCATCAATCACTGCTTTATAATTGTGGCTCTGTCACATTCACATAATCGTAAACAAGTCTCTTCACTTCTTTGGGCCCCAGAAGTTACATTTGACCAATGAAGGGTGAGGCTTGGGTGACTTCCACGTTTCTGGAGTCCATAGTAATTTGACAATTAGAGTAATAACAGTATGTAATAATGGCAAGGAAAATTGTTCACAACAAGAGAACATATTTATTTAAAATTCTTCTACTGTGGATGACACTGAGAAGAATGGGAATCCCAGAACACTTGATTGTGCTAATGCGAAACCTATACTTGCACCAAGAGACAGTCGTTAAAACAAAGCAAGGAAACACTGCATGGTTCAAAATTGGGAAGGGCATACACCAGAGATGTGTCCTGTCTCAATACCTTTTCTTTTTTTAAAAATTTATCATTTTTTTTATTAATGAAAATTTAAAGAGACTGGATTTCCACTTATTCATTGTTGCAATTTTCTGCCTTCCCACCCCTTCCCCTCAGTATACTCTTCTTTTTGAAAAGTAAAAGAAAAGTTCCACCATTGTTTTACAATCCCTCTCCCCAGGTCCATTCCACTATGCAGCCTTCATTCTGGACTCCTGTCATGACAATAATACCTAATCACAGATCCTTTTTAAACAGTTTTCTCCCTCATCTGTTTCAATGCAGTATACATTATTTATCCCATCTTTCTCAGTCTATCCCCAACCCCAAGGTCAGTCCTGTTTTACAACAGTGGCACTATGCAGTATTTGTCCCTTTGTGACTGAGATATTTCATTCAGCATAATGTCCTCCAGGGTC